CTCTTAATAGATCATGAATCTTGCATGTTTTGATTTTGCCCATGGAGTTTCTCTTACCACCCAAAATAAGATTTCTCTCCATAAGATCCAACAAATACTCCTCCGCCACATCTTCAAAGCTTTTAGATCTTATTGGCTTTAGAATTCCTTCAGCAACCCATAAATTCACAAGTTCGAAAACGCTAACGTCAGAATCTTCTGGGAAAATTCCCATATAGAGTAAACAACCTTTCAAATGATGAGGCAAACATTTGTAATTTAATGATAGTACTTTTAAGCACTGTTCATCACTTGAAGTTATTGTTGAGTTCAAATTTTCTAAAATATTTCGCCAATAATTTTCTGTTTTGATCGCCTTTGAGAGGAGCCCTCCAATCACAACAATTGAGAGTGGAAGCCCTCGACAATTTTGGGAAATTTGCTTCCCAATTTCATCCAGTTCAGGAGGGCAACAACCCTCCTGGCCAAACACCGTGTCACAAAATAACTTCCAACTTTCAACGTTGTTTAGAAAGCGCACTTGATGAAGTGGAGGACAAGAGTTGGCATGATCAGCCACCTTCTTTAACCTAGTAGTCAATATGATTCGACTTCCATTATTGTCATTTGACACTAATCGTTTCACACCATCCCATGCCTTCTTATCCCACACATCATCTAGAACACTGAGGTNTTATTGTCATTTGAAAATAATCGTTTCACATCATCCCATGCCTTCTTATCCCACACATCATCTAGAACAATGAGGTATCTCGTACGGCTTAAAGTCTTGTGAAGAAGCCCCTTCAATTTGTCACTACTCTCTTCGCGCATGTTGTGAGGGAGCATTTTCATGGAATCTAAAATATCTAATATTATTTTTCGATCATTATATTCTTGAGATATAGTTACCCAACCACGAATATAAAAATGATCTTTAATAGATAAATCATCATAGATATTTCTGGCCATAGTTGTCTTACCGATTCCACCCATCCCAAGAATGGAGAGAATTTGAAGTTTTGATGATCCCGTGACCAGCCGAGTCCTGATCTCCTCGAGTTCATCATCAAGACTT